TGAAAAGTTAAAGATATTATCATAACAGCTGTTGTATGTTTAATTATCGACATGTAAGACCTCATCTACACTATGAGATAAGGTCAAATTTATTAAGGTCAATGTTTTAGAACCCAATTTTGTGAAGTAGAAGGTGCAAGTCACCACTGCAGACAAGATTTCGACACCGTTCGAAGTAGCGTGTCCCCAGAAGGGTGGCTATCATCAACTTTGAGAGTGATGAACTATGGGGTAGCTATCCCACAATTCCTGCCATCCCTTTGCATTCTGGAGTCTTCTTCTGGATTAGGCTTCCAGTGCATGCTGGAAGCAAAACTGTGTAGTGGGTGGCTTTGGCTACAGGTTGTCATCATCCCATAATGCACTCATCTGGTCCCTTCCCCTCCTGCTTGAAAGCAACAGCAAACAGCCTTTTTCTGCCTTTTTTCCCCCCCTGGTTATCTGTGCGGATGCCATAGCAGAGTAAGCATGGAACCTATTCAGAAGCAAAGTATTATGGTAATCACATTAGCCATGGGGCACCGAATGCTCGAGTACATCTGCTGAAACAAGGAAGAATCTCAGGAGGCCATGAGCATACTGTTCTGTGAAGCACTTGAGCTGAGCTACTAGCAAATGCTGCCGGCATTTGATCCTCTTGATGAAACAACTCTGGGAAACGTGCAGAACATAGTGCAGGGCTTTGCCACAATAGGGCTCCCTAACTGTGATGGGGCAGGGCAATAAATGGAATGCACATCTCCAATCTTAGCACCCAATCTCGCCAAAGAGTTCATAAACCGCAAGGCGTACTTCTCAATGGTGCTGGAGGCACTGGTGGATCAAAAGGGCTATTTGACCGACAACAACATGGGATGGTCAGGAAAGGCGCGTGATGCACACATCTTGAGAAATTCTTGCCTCTTCAGAAAGCTGCAAGATGGAATTTTCTTCCCAGACCAAGATCATCTCATCTGAAGAAGAGGGTTTTACCCATGAAAGCTCATGAAACTATATTATTTTTTGTTAGTTTCTAAGGTGCCTAAATTTGTGGCTTTTGAAGTTACAGACTAACACGGCTACCCTGCCAAGACATTTATATTGCATGTTTGTTTAGCATCTTTTATTTTGCATTTTTATATGCTTAGGTAAGTTGTATCATCTGCTTTTAAATGTTATGGCAATGGTGCTGTTACACTCCATATTCCTTGTGCAAATATGCTTATGATATGGAGAGGAGATAACTGAGATGTGTTTTATGAAAGTTGGCTCACGTAAGATATAACTGGAAAGGTTATGATTTACTAAATGCAATTATCCAATTTTAAAATAATGAGGAGTCCTGTGGCACTTTAAAGACTAACACATTTGTCAAAGTGGGCTTCCGCCCACAAAAGCTAGGCTCAAATAAATATGTTAGTCTTTAAGGTCCCACAGAACTCCTTGTTCCTTTTGCTGAAACAGACCAATGCGGCTACCCCCTTGAAATTTCTTACCCAATTTGTGTGCCTTAATCATCTCTGTATCTGAAGTTAGAAATATTGACCATGTACCTATATTTCAAATATGTTACTCTGGGTGTCGCCCACAACTAGTCCTTCAGGTACAGCCATGAAAAAGCTAGACAGAGCTAATGACCCATTAGCCAAGACAATGGACTGTGAAAGATCTTAGTCTTCCTGTGGACACTCCAGCCTTATTTCATTAAGGGATCTTCTAAATGAAAGGGAATAAAAGACAAACCATGCACAGCATACACCAAAGGACCAAGAAAGAAAAATTAGCAAATCTCCAGCTAACTTGTTCAAAAATTTACAAGAGGGATCCCAATGAGAGGAAAGTGATTGCATCACAATTGTGGAAAAAGTGGGGCTTTGAGACATCTGGACATTACAGGCCACCTGAAGGTCAGCTGGGGAGAAGTCTTTGTAAATATTTTAAGAGTGCTAGGTAAACACCAGGAATGTCAAATCAATTAAAACAATCAACATGTCTACGACAGACTCACAATCTTGCAAGCAGTACTGTTTTGAGATATAACTGCAAGGCTCAGCAAGTGGATTGATATTTTCTTCTTATGCTTGGATTGTTCAAGAGCAGACGGCCAACTTCACACTGAAAATGAACAGATACCTTACAAAACTGTAGGGCAGGAAGCACCCCTTATAAATATAAACTGTTTAATGGAGATAATTAAGGGCACTTATAAATACAATGTCAAATTAAGAGGATGCTGTTGAAGGGACACTGTCAAGGTTGTCAGACCTGCAATTAGATTTACTTGCATGTAGGCAAGTCTGTATCAGACAGTTCTTTTTTTGTAGACAGCACCAAGGCTGTGTCCAGACTCCATGCCTCCGTCGACGGAGGCATGTAGATTAGCCACCTCGGAAGAGGGAAATGAAGCCGCGATTAAAATAATCGCGGCTTCATTTCCCTCTTCCGAGGTGGCTAATCTACATGCCTCCGTCGACGGAGGCATGTAGATTAGCCACCTCGGAAGAGGGAAATGAAGCCGCGATTAAAATAATCGCGGCTTCATTTCCCTCTTCCGAGGTGGCTAATCTACATGCCTCCGTCGACGGAGGCATGTAGATTAGCCACCTCGGAAGAGGGAAATGAAGCCGCGATTAAAATAATCGCGGCTTCATTTCCCTCTTCCGAGGTGGCTAATCTACATGCCTCCGTCGACGGAGGCATGGAGTCTGGACACAGCCCAAGAGACTTAGTTGGCAGAGCCAAGTTGAAAAGGTATGACATGTACATATAACAGGCCAAAATAAACCCTGCATTTCATATATCCGGGTAGTAGCTCCTCTTGAAGATTAGTTGAGATTTTATGCATATTGCAAATTTCACTTTGGAAGGGATGATAGTCTTTTCATTATCAAGGAAACTTTATTTTAATAATTAGGATAGGGAACTGTATTTCCTGGATAAATTATATATTTTTAAAACATACTTGTTATGGGAGGCACAGAACTACCTTGGACCCCTACAACAAAAGGTTTACATACTAAAATAAAATATTAAAGGCATATATTAGAAAGTGATATACCAGGGAGAGAAAACAAGATCTTCTAAACTGGAAGGTTCTGCATCCCATAGGAAATTAAGACAAAGCATATGGTACACCAAGAAGCAATGTCTGAGTGACCAGTAAGTACAGATTCTGAATACTACCATGAAAGGGGTTTTGGTTTGGTTTGTTGGTTTTTTATAGGACAGGACCAGAACATGGGATCCAGAACCTCCATAGGACACTGATAGTGAGAACTTCATGATCCAGCAAGGCTGCATGGCCTTTTCGTTTCTAGAGAGAGGACATCTCATTGCACTCAGTTGTCTATCACCGAGATTAGAGACAGCTAGAGTTAGTCTCGAACTGTTGCGGTGGGTGAGAGAGGCTCAGAACAATGAGTGGAGAGTAACGGATACAGTGATATTTGACTGTTTGCAGAATCTTAAACAACTGTTGACAAGTGTGACCTGCTCCCTTCATCTCCATGAGCACTAAACTCAAGACAACTTAGGACACACACTTTGTCTTTTAAAGTATTATCTGTTTCTCTGGATGATCAAGACTTGAAGGAAAAGGAATGGGAACCATCATTTTATGAAGGGAGGATCATAAGCTGGTGCGCACAGAGAGCTTGTTTTTAAGCCAGCTCCCCATGCATATCAGCTCCCACCTGCTCCCCATGCTGCTGCCTCTGAACACCGGGCATATTGTCAGCCTGTGTGTAACCATGAAGGTTAACCGATGAGCCAAGCTCATCAGTTAACCATGTACAGGGTTATACTTTCACAGGGATAGCTCAGTGGTTTAAGCATTGGCCTGCTAAACCCAGGGTTGTGAATTCAATCCTTGTGGACGCCATTTAGGGATTTGGGGCAAAAATTTGTCAGGGATGGTACTTGGTCCCGTTGTGAAGGCAGGGGACTGGACTCGATGACTTTTCAAGGTCCCTTCCAGTTCTAGGAGATAGGCAATGTCCATTAAATCTAAATCCCTACTTGAGATCACCACCATCCTCCCTTTCTATGAACATACATGCCAATGAACGGAAACCACTGCTATACATTTCAATGACCGGGGATCAGAGCAGTGGATTTTATCCTTCCCATACTATACCACCCAACTTACCACAGGAAAATGTTTGCTCTCCCTCCCCCCTCCACCCCTTTCTCTCAACATTAGGAGAAAGCATAGGATCATACCCCCTTGAAACCTATTCTCTACTCCTCATTGAGAACCCCTGGACAAGATAGCTCAGTAATATCTACAGCTGTTTCTCCGATGCATTTCAAAAACAAAAACTTTAAAAAAAATCTCCTAGCCTCTTTGCCATCTCAATGTTTCCAGCCTTATTTGAAAAGAAGCTTTGCGGTTTGCTTCTCAAAGGCTCGGGTGCTCAAGCATTTGTAAAAAGTTAAAGAGAAAAAAGTCTAGTGGTCCAGAGTGCAGAATAATTATTTTCAGATGGACCAACCACATTGGCTTTAAAACTGAAGGTACCTCTTGGTTACAGCAAAACATAGCCTATTAAACTAATTATTTTAAAATTGCATTAATTACTTTCAGTAGATGGTTTAAAAAAATCACAGCCATTTGTACAATTTAACTATTACTAGGAACCCAAAAAGTTTAAACAAAAATGTGTAAATTGTGTATGATATTAAATTCTATTTACATGAAATATCCCATATCTTCCCAAATCACATAGAACTCAAACTGCTTCTACTGAAATTAATGGGAATTTTGCCATTGACTTCAATGAGAGCAGGATCGGGCTTATTTTGCAACATTTATTTAAAAAAATGCATGGCCAAGTTCTGCTCTGAAATATGCATGAACAACTGTTACTGTCATCAGGGCATGCTGTGTATATGCACTCGAGGAAAGATTTCAGTGACATTTTATTTTTCATCTATCTCGGTCAAAACACTTTTTTCAAAGGCTAATGGAAGCCATAGCTATCTGGAATAGATATCTAAGTAACCATGGACATCTGCTGTACCTTCCGTATGGAAGTCTAGGAGCATGTCGGCAGGATCTTGTGTTACAGCTGATCTCCTGTAGACCACGTGAATTCTTCCTCTCTCTTCTTCCATTTGTTTGCCTCTTTCCAAAGGTTCAATGAAATATTCATCCTTATCAGTTCTTATCATTCCAGCCTGGTGAGGAGGGAGGAGAGGAAGAGCACAAAGTACGTCAAAAATCCATTTTCCTGACTCGATACATTGATCAGCTCCTACTGACATTTTAAAGACGTGTGAAGGGTGCAACGGCCAGCAAGTGAATCTGACAGATAGACTACTGCCCAGTGAAATAGAATAATTGCTGGGTTTGTTCTTGTTTTTATTTGGGCTTTACACTGGATGCAGAGTATTTCTAGCTATTGAACATTTTGACTTGTGCTTAGACTATTTCTTAGGCCATAAATCTGTAATCATACACACTCACACAACAAAACACAGCTTAGACCTCCCAGGTCTGGCACACTTGAGGTCTGACCAGGATTTTGCCGGACCAGGGGAGGTCATATATGTAGCCTTCCTGCTACTGGTCCCCCCCAGCCCTGTCCAAGCTGGATCCCTCTCCCCAGCCACCAACCCCTCTGTTCTGCTTCCCACTTCTCAGCTGTGTCGGGCTCCCCGACTTGCCAGGCAGCTCGTTGCTAACTACCGGGCTCCCAGCCGCCAGCTCTCCACCGGAACTCTGGTGCTGAAACATCCGTGGTCCTGCTGGACCATGGATGTTGTCGGACCAGAGAGTCCCAGTTAACAGAGGTTCAACCTGTACATGCCTAAGGCACAAATCTGACAGGAATTCTAGCTCTTGTATCTAAGGAGTAAGACTCATATTTCAATTCAGATGTTAATAACTATTAATACAGATGTTTATAACTTGAAGAATGCAGTCCTGGGTGTCTTCAATTAATCTGCACTCAGCACCCCCCACAGAAAAGGCGCAATACTTTACAGGATTGGGCCTTAATTTTCCTGGACTCTCTGAGCTGTACACTTTTCCTACACAATCTAATGATTGATCACTATGGACGAACAGTTCATTGAAACCCTTCCTCTCTGTGCCTTTCTCTTGTGAGGACTCTGAACTGGATTTACAGATATAAGGCTTAACTCTACTTTCACGGACACTGGTATTAACTGGGACTAACCTAAGTGGAATAAGTTACATCAGCATAAAATGGGTGGGAGGGAGTCAAAGCAGAATCAGGTTCAAGGTCATTGTGGTAAAGTCATCTTCTGATAAAGTGAATGCAATCACAGCAACCAATAGTGAGAATTAGGCAGCATAATCAAGGGGAAGATATAGTCTTAAAAAATCCTTTTAGCAAACAAGAAAAAAAAAGTCTTGAGTTTTCCCTTAGCTGAGACAGCAGCAGCCTATATTCTGTTTGGCAGAGCGAGTGGGCACAGTGAACATGTGGAAAAAACACATATGCAGACTATTTGGAGATAGCAGTGAAAAACAAAGGGCTATTTTGAGCCACCTACCTTCAAAGGTATAATGTAAACTATGAACACTTATATAAAATCATTTGGATAAAGCAAGAAAAAGTGACTAGAAACGATCATTAGGTTACCAATCTTCCTGAAATAGTGTTGCTCAGTATTCTCTCTCCTCCATTTCTGTTTCATTTAGTCACTTTGCATCCAAGTGTTTGAGTTACCCAGAGACACCCAAATGTGGGATTACTGGGCAGGCTGTGCATCCTCCTTCCAAGTGCAGAGGAAGTTCAGTGCTTCCTCGGGTTGTGACAGGCAGAAAGACAAACCAGCTGCCTCCCCAACACCATCTCCCCTGTCAGCTAAACTCAGCACAGCCTTTTCCCTGTGTGGGTTGCTGCTGTTGGGGGGGGGGGGGGGGGGATGGGCTCTAGCCTAGACAGGGGTCAGATAGTAGGATCAGGTGGTTATGAGAAGTACACAAGGAATACAGCCCCAAGTACAACCTCTTCTGCATGGCCTGTCCAACATCCCTGGGAACTGGTATGTTTGCAACAGACAAGAACTTTCTGGGTATCTGGCTGGTGAGTCTTGCCAACATGCTCAGGGTTTAGCTGATCGCCATATTTGGGGTCGGGAAGGAATTTTCCTCCAAGGTAGATTGGAAGAGGCCCTGGAGGTTTTTCGCCTTCCTCTGTAGCGTGGGGTACAGATCACAGCTGGAGGATTCTCTGCATCTTGGGGTCTTCAAACTATTTGAAGGCTTCAATATCTGAGATATAGGTGAGAGGACTATTCTAGGAGGGGGTAGGTGACATTCTGTGGCCTGCATTGTGCAGAAGGTTTGACTAGATGATCATAATGGTCCCTTCTGACCTTAAAGTCTATGAGTCTATTTGTTCCTACTAGCCTCACTGCCTTTCTGAGGGCTCCCCGCATAGGTTGCGCCTCTATAAACCGGAACTGTCTGGTCCGGCAACATCTGTGGTCCGGAAGAACCTTGGATGTTCCAGGATCAGAGAGTCCTGGCATGCTGCAGAGGATAGGGTGGTGATGGGGGAAGACACTCAGCCAAGTAGGGCTGGGGTGAGAGCCAGGAAGCTGAGCGCACAACTCAACTGGGCTGTTCAGCAGGGCTGGGGAGCGGGAGGGGCAGGAAGCCTGGGGCAGGGAGATACAACCTCTACAAGTAATGCATAATGCTAGGCTTGCACAGAAATGTACAGAAGCAAACAAACACCGGAGCAGAATCCATGTATTAGTTCCCAATCAGTCAACATGGTGCAGTCTTCTGTATCTACTCCAGATACCAGACTGGGATGAAAAGTAACCCCATATACAATGTGCAACATTGCTGTGATCCAGCCATAAAGTCAAAGAAATAAGCTTTGATTGCAGCTAACACCTGAGTATGGCTCCCCCCTAGAAAGCAAAATACAGTCTGACTAACATGCATTTATTTCAATGTGTTCTCCTGAGCGTTGCATATATTTTTCCTCTCTTCTCAGAAACCAAAGAAATTCAATACAAAAGAGCTTTTCAATGTAGCATTCTGGCAGAGGATTTCAATGTATGTAAGCCATGAATTTCGAAGCTATGGCCCTGCCTGTAACCACACTGCACATATACAGAATGGAATAAGATGAGATCGAGGGCCAGACTTTCAGAAATGCTCAACACCCACAATTGGGTCCAGATGTTCAAAAGATCCTGGTGCACTGAATGGGAGCTGATGGGAGATGAACTCATAAGTTGGACTGACAGGCTACCCCTGCACCAAGCTGGGGGAAAGGGCCAGAGCTGCATCAAGAGGCTACAAAAGCCCCGGTTCTCATCAGTGATCTGTTTACAAGGCCTCATATAAGGGGTGTTGTCAGGGCACTGGAGATTCTGGATTCCAGGAAGCTTTAAATTAGACAAGGCTCTAGGGAACTACAGCAGGTGCCTTTTCAGGTGCTAGAGCAGCACAGGATCAGGAAGGCTCAGAGTCAGTCTTCCCTCCACCCCATGTGAGTAAATTTGCAGACATGCATGGGGAAGGAGTTCCAACGCACACGAAAGCTTTGCATTTCAACTTTGAATCAGAACACCACCAGGTGCTTGTTGTACAAAACAGAAAAATCATTTTAGTTCAATCTCAATATGACAAATGTAAATGAATTGTAAAGGTGTTTAAAATGCAAAAACACAAAGTTTCAAATTTGAGAACATAAATAATTTTAGAAGTTCTCTAAGCGTCATGAACATTATCATCCGACGACTGCTTTTTCCCTTAGAATTTGAACAATGGGAGCATTCTTATATCCATAAGAACGTACAGCATGCTGGATCTCCTGCTTGGTTATCGCTGCTGTGTCTTGAAATCAGTGGGTTTTTGCTTTTAAAAAAGTAGGCAAAATACTGCACACATGCTAAACTAACTATTTTTGAAGTTTCATAATCTTGACTAGAACAAAAAGAAGCTGTTGTAAATGATCAATCTCCAATGAGACCACTTACAGCAATAAGTAGTGTCCGCTAAGGTTGCCGTGGCTTCAGGAACTAAAAACTAATCTTCAGTTAAATATTGTGTCGTGCTGAAACTTCCAAGAATACGTCCACAATTAAAATCGGTAACTCTCATGTCTAATGGTATCAGGGTTGGACCCTACGCTAAAAATGCCTGAGGAAAATGAAGGTTGACATGAAGTGCCATCAACAATAAAACTGGCCTGAAATATCTCTGATTTCAATAGCATTCATACTGAGCACCAAACTCATTACTTCTTATATATAGCTTTGGTTTCCAAAATGCTTTACAGCACTAAGAATATTAATTTCAGCATATAAGGATCAGGAGCCAAACCACAGAATTAAAAATGCCTGAGGAAAATGAAGGTTGACATGAAGTGCCATCAACAATAAAACTGGCCTGAAATATCTCTGATTTCAATAGCATTCATACTGAGCACCAAACTCATTACTTCTTATATATAGCTTTGGTTTCCAAAATGCTTTACAGCACTAAGAATATTAATTTCAGCATATAAGGATCAGGAGCCAAACCACAGAATTTGCCTACATCACTCTTTCAGGTTGTGGGTGGGGGGTGGGAGGGGGGTATTAAATGAAAAAGTCTAACAGTTTGACTGAATTCTCTTAAATAACAAACAGTCATCTGTTCCCATCGTTTGTTCATTTTTATGGCTAATAAATTTCTTTAAAATTATGTAATTTTACTAACTATGAACACTACTGTTTCATTTTTTCTTTCTTTTTATTAAACAAGTGGCAGTAATCTTTGTGATTTTTAGGTTGGAATAGGTCAAGTAACATCACACAGTTGTGTTTTTCCCCTTTCATGTGAATAACTAGCATTATTAGATTGGGGAATGAACAAGTCCCTTTGCATGTTAATCATTTATTCTCTTGCCATTTTTCTGGCCAAAAGTGAGTTTGTGCCTACAGTTGCTATGTTACTGGCGTAAGATCTTATCTTGGCACATAGATTTTGTTTAAATAACCTATTTTCTACAAAGCTGTTTGCCTACAGCTTGAAAGTAGCTGTGTCCAAGGCAGTGTGAAGTCCAGAAGCTAACTCTGGCTTCCCTATCCAGGTTTAATGTGTGTTTTTTTTTCTTTTCTGTGTTAAGTCTGCAAAAGAAGAAAGGAACCCGTAATTCTACTATTCATAATAGTGTGCCCTTTTGTGCAAGGAATACCAG